GTCTGTTTTTTTTTTTTTCTTGTGTCCGATGGGGACACTCAGCTACCTGCTTGGACGCTCAGCCATAGCGAAACCACAGACTCAGTCAGTTGCATAGGATATATGTGTATGACAGTGAAGGACTTTCGGCAAATCATGAATAAAAATGGAAAACAAGGGCGGCCCCAAACAAGAATTCTGGGATACACCCCTCTAAATGATGATAAAATCAGACTGGCTGCCCTGGTAAGAAACACACTGCTGTCTGGAGTGAAAATATGAGTTCAGCCAGAGTTAGGCCTTTCTCGATCATGTAATTTGACCGAGAGAAGATGATGGAATGATTGACCAAATCAAATCCCCTGCTAAATGTCGATAAATATAGCACCCAAAGACAAACACTCATGAAAAGAAATAAATCATTTGTCAATTTTAGTAAGGTATGAAAATTACTGATTTATAGTTACAACGAACAACCAATTTTTCTTCTGAAATTTGTGCTAAAATCAAAGACATACAGTAGTTATATAATGTATATAATAATAATAATAATAATAATAAGGGTAACTATCATGTTTGCCTGGGCATGAGCTCTTTAAATCAAGGTTACAAAAGATGAAGACGTACAATTACCAGCCATACTTTTTTTTCGTCACTCTCTTTGAGAAACTCTTGTCCTTTAGCCCAAACCTTTCATTTTTCATTAGGTCAATGAATGCTTCACTGTTTCTATTACCATTTCATTAGATCTCCGTTTTGAAGAGTCTCATAATGAAGCAAGGAAATCATTCTTCCATCTTCCTCTTCACCCTCTCTCATCCCGCTCTCGAATTACAGCTGGTGTCATTTTTCCCCATTTCGATTAAAGAAAAGTTAATAACAGTAACAGTACGCCTCAAACATTACATGTCATATCAACTAAATTTCCTACTGAAGATGTATACTTTTACTCAGACCACCCCACAAAAATCTGGGAATTTCCCCCACAAATGCAGAGAACACTCCAGAGCAGGGGTGGGCAAACATTTTGGCTCGGGGGCCACATTGATTTCTAAAATTTGACATTTGGGCCGGGTCAGCACAAGATACGGTCAATAAAAAACTCCATATGTTGACGGTCCATACCAAACATCAACAGAAAAAAAGCATTGAAGTGTTAACATACTTTTTTTAATGAGAACAGTGAAACGGTACCTGTCCTGTATGAACGTCCAAATATGTTAACAACATAAATGTGTGACAATACAAGCAACAAACTGCGACAATATATTGCCCAAAAACTGTTTACAACACAAAACTGCAGCATACATTACAGGTATATGAACAAAATATAACAAAGTTAAGACTATTTGCTACAAAATGAGACCAGTAAGGGACCTGGAAGCTTTTCTTTCTACTCACTCACCGTCTCTAACTTTACCTCCCTTCGATCACCACACAAGACAGCATTGCTCAGTTTTTGTTGTGCAACGAACTTTTGAAGCCAGCCACAGGACGCTTCGAAGTCTTTGATGCTCATAGTTAGCGCTGTGGTACTCGCCTCCTCTCTTATTAGCGGTCCAGTTTGCGGAAAGTTTTTAGCATGATAACAGTCAAAACCGTTCCAGGAAACGTTCATTGACTCGACTGTCCGTCAAGCCGCAAGCAATTTACTCTGAGCATAGAAATTGCCAAAATCGAACTGCGCAAAAATTGCTTCCTCATTTTTCAAAGTCTTGTAGATTTGAGTCTTTCCGACTCCAAGCGTCTCCTGAATTTTTCGTACTTTGCCACCCGCTTCGTTTAATCAGATACATTTTACTTTCTCTTCCGCGGTCATTACTGTTCTTCTTCGTTTGGATGCCATTATCTAGAGCAGCGGTGCCCAACTTTTTTGCCCCATGGACCGGTTTAATGTCAGTCAATATTTTCAGGCACTTTTACTCTGGAGCGACTAATATTCGAAAAATACAGTAAGTACTATCCAAAGACATGAAGAGATGCTTGCACCAGATTTAGCAAGACTGTAGTTGCCCGCTGTTTTCCATGTATCATTCGATTTCCCTCATCGCAACTGGGGGAATGCTGTAATTTCTTTTCCTTGGCTATTATGCTTGCGTCAATTCATATGTCTTTTTTCAGTCACTTGATTTACAACTCAGCACACAGAGTGATCATGGCATCCTAGACTTCCCCGTCAAGAATATCCACTTGACTACACTGAAAAAAATTTGAGTAATATTTATTTGAAAAAAAAAAGTAATTTTTCGCACAGAACATGTAAGTCAGTAAAGAGCATTTTTGTGTAAATTGTACATGCATAGTATTAGTTTATTAAAAAAAAAAAAAAAAAAAAAAAGGATTGAGGAAAAAACCCACAACCTGCAGATTGGCGGACGGTCACCACCTGAGCCATGCCGTTCCTACTGTCTGTCGTACTTTTTCTATTTCTGAGTGACTTTTCCTTGGCTATTATGCTTGCGTCAATTCATATTTTCGCTTTTACCCTCTCTTCCAGCATCAGAGATCTTTTCTTCTTGTCTGAGCTGCTTGACATCCAAAGGTCCGTTTTGTAGCCATTTTAGCAATGCAACATTCATGCTGCGTCTGAATCTAACAATAATACTTCGTGGACCCGGTGGATTTTCTTTCCACTGTCTCTAACTCAACCTCCCCTTGATCGCCACCCAAGACAGCGTTGCTCAGCTGATGTCATGCAATGAACTTTTAAGCCAGCCACGGGATGCTTCGTAGTCCTCGATGGCCATAGTTAGCACGATGGAACTCGCCTTCTCTCTAATTAGCGCTCCAGTTAGCATAAGGTTTTTAGCATGATAACAAGTAAAGCATTCCAGGAAACGTTCGTTTGTTTGACTGTCCATCGAGCCACAAGCAATTTACTCCGAGGCTAATCGGATGCATTCCACTCTATCTTCCACGGATCTAGCTACAGTATCTACACAAATAGACAGTGAGGTCCCTCTTGGCCAATCGGAGGCCA